ATTTGTAAAAGTTGTCAAATTTTTCACTTCTTGTCTGATCTTTTCTCTGCACCTACTTGCGCTTTTCCCCTTTCAGAATTTTTTTTCATGTACTTTGGCATTGTCTCTTACATGGAGGCATTCCGCTGCCTCTAGCGCTTCAAAAACGAGGAGTGAAAGAAATATTTAAAAAATTCAGAAATCTTTCTAAATTCCTTTGTTTATGTGCATCACATAGAAATGAATACAGTAAACATAAAAATGTTTTTTTTTTTGAATTTTTTCAAAGACGTTTTCTACGTAATTCCGATGATTGTCAAGTTGGCGCACACCTAACAACCACATTGTCCGGTCTATTGCTCATCACCTGAGAGAACGCCAGCTCATTTGCAAAAATAGGAAGAAACGGATTTTTAGCCACAAAGTGGGTGTTTTGCGCACGGATCGGATGCGACGGTACCGTTGAATAGGCCTTTTAACCCTGCCCATACCCCGTAAACATGAGATCTTTCCAAAGCTTCCGAGATTTTTGAGAATTAAAATAAAAAGTTAACAGAAATTACCCGACAACCTGATATATTAGGTTGAACACTAAGTTTTGCAACTTTTCTCATAACTTCCCTCTCACTCAACATGGTGCACTCAGATTTTGCCACTGTGTTGGTTATTATGTATACTATAAGCGCAGCTGCTGTCCTACCAAATAATGACGTCGCAGTGAGGGTTACGGTAGGTGTATGGTACGAAGGGGAAAAATTCAAAGTTTGACGGATTTGGCTGAAACTTGGCATAGGGATGTTATCCGACATGCTGATCACGAAAGCGATAGTGAAATTGCGTGATAAGGGCTTTTATGTAGGATTACTGTAGGTGTACGATATGGGGTCTACCCTAAACAAGGAAAAAGGCGTTGATTCAACAAATGAATATGATATTCGCATTCGGCAGGTCAAATAACCTTACTATGTGAAGTCTCGGCGGAATTTGAGCTTCGGACTCTTTAGTCATTGACGGTCGTCCCCAGCAGCTCTTGCGTACATCGACTCGTTCGACTTTATGAGGACGCCAAATCTCGACATGCCCATAAATTTTGTTTCTTTCTTGCTAGGCCAAAGGAGTCAACCTCTTGCAATAATTTGCAGACGAATCCGGATTACTGCGCATGGTCTAGGCTGCCAATGGCTTCATTTTAGCTCGAAACCTCAAAAATTCTCAAATTTTACTAGTTTTCGAAAAATGCCTGAAACTTTTCTATTTCGTGTTCAAAATTCAGACAATTTGTGCTCACTTGTAGCTCACATTGCATTCTACATGATGCCAAAGTTTGAGTGCGCCATGTTGAATGAGAGTGAAGTTATGAAACAAGTTGCACTTAGTGTTCAACCTAATATATATATATATATATATATATATATATATATACACGATTCATGACACACAAAGACTGGGCGCGGTTGCTCCAGCCGAAATAGTTCGTGCATCGGAGAGGTAGCAGATGGTAAAAGAAACGAAAGAGCGCTTGGTCAGAGGAGACGCGGTATGTCCGCAGTCTTTGCGTGCGATGAATCGCCTATCACTCTCTGAGAGGGGAAGTAGAGTTGGCGTAGACAACTAAGCGAGCACGCTAATTGCGACATCTCACCTCTCAAAAATCGATGCTACTATTTTCACGATTATTCCCGTTTTTTCCATGGCAAGGTTAAACTGGTATATACTTAAAGCATCCATGATTTAGCAGTAACCATGCTAATTCTGACCCCTCCGAGCAGTGCCGATCCTGGATGTAGGCCTCAAGAGACGGGCATCTGCGTTGGTTCGGTTCTCTAATGTTGTCTCTGAATAGACATAATGGACCTGGAACAGTCAAAGTGCCATCAAGCCCCGCTCAAATGACATCAAGCTCCGCCATCCATGTATTTACTGATCCGTCCGCGCCCTCAAGACAAGGACCCCAGGAGTCGAGTTTTCTGGGGGTTTTGAGCAATTCAAACTTCATAACTATAATCAGGGCCCCGGAAAGGCCCAAAATGGCAAAAACAGAGAGACGAATATTTTGACGCTGCCTTTAAAGGCAGCGTCCAGGCAAATCTGGACCTATGGGGCTCTCACGTGGAAAGTAATCTTGAGGCCCTTAATAAGACCTGCCCAAGCGGTAGTTCAGATAGTGCACTCACGGCTAAGATATTGGGCTCCAAACTATGCCCCGTGATCGTATTCGCATGAATTCCTCGGCACATCAGTTTCGCATGGATCCTCGCGCGAGAGCGCCACGAATCCATGCGGATACGGTCACGGAGCATAGTTTGGAGCCCAATATCTTAGCCGTGAGCGCACTATCTGATTGTGAGCTGCCGCTTGGGCAGAGTCTTATTAACACGTTTCGGACCGGTGCTGCACATGGTGCAGCACGCAGCACTGAAGGATCTTTCCAACGTTTACAGGAGGTTTTTTGTCCAAGGTTATCAAGTCAAAGGCCTAAGCTTCTCCTATTTAAAAGCATAGTTTAAAAGACTTTGTAGAGCTGTGCCAGCCGGATTTGTTTAGGAGATATGGGGACAAATCGAACAACAGTTGCAACGAAGTGCGGCAACGCGAACGACGCGTGCGACGCCGCAACTTTTCTTTGCCTCAATTTCACGGAGAAAAACCGTAGTTTCAATAAAGATGTGTAAGGTGTACAATATAGAAACTTTTGGATACTAATAAGAACTGAGTCCTTGTTCCTCTCTGTCAAGAAAGCGCAGAGAAGTCCTTCTCAAACGACAAAATTCAAACACTTCGAATCCACTCAGAACTTAAGTTATGGAACTTATCCGACATGCTGGTTACAAAAGTAGCACGCAGTCTACGAAATAAGGCCCTTTGTTAGCTAACGGATGAAAGTACTACACACTGTTTCGCCACGCGCGATTTCGCGGTCCGAAACGTGTTAGGTAAGTGCCAGAGTAAGCGAATATTTTGTTCAAGTTGGGGTCCCGCGCAGAACTGGCGTTACTAATCATTGTGGCACAACGCCAAGTTGGCATTATGCCACAATGATTAATGGTGCCAGTTCTGCGCGGGACCCCAACTTGAACAAAATATTCGCTTACTCTGGCACCTACCTTAAGGGCCCTCAAGATTACTTTCCACCTGAGACCCCCATTGGTCCAGATTTGCCTGGGCAAAATTCCGACGAAAGGATTTTTCGCCTACCTGGGATCAAACCTTCCCACTGACTTCGAAAATGCTGTCCAGAGAACTCGAAGAGGTCGAAAAACGGCTATCACAAGTTCCTGATTTTGAATCTGGACGGATGCCGCCAACGCCGGTTGGAACGCTGAGTCTGTGACTACCTATGTCTGGACTGTGCAATATGCACAATTCGGCTTGCAGATGGGCAAGCGTCTTCAAGAAACATCCGCATTGTAGCCACTGAAACGGTTTTCTCTTCAGAAAATTGATGTAATGCTACTAGAGCAAGGGGTTTATGAAGATGGGCGCTGTGGCATGCACGTTCTTCTCGCTATTGTCATACAGCCTGCCCCATTCCCAACCAGACCAAAATTGGCATGGTGGGAGTCCGTGTCGCGAGGTATTGCGTCACGTCTACGTTAGCTAGTCTGCTCTCTCCTCAATCACTTCGCTCTTTGCGACAGTGTGCGTATGCAGCGCAAACCCCTAGCGCTGCAAGCGCGCGAATTCGCCGAGGTTCGCCTGATCCCGATTGGGGCGGAATATACCGGACGTCCGGACGCTGCCTTTAACCCTCTTCGCAATTGTCTAAATCCGTGAGCTGAACAGCCGCGAAGCTGGATGAGCTGGAAGAAGTGGATTAAAGGCATTGTTCAGGTCAACTGGAGGATGGTAGGATTTTAGCGCATTGCAGGAGCAAAACTCCTGCAATGCGCTAAAATCCCACCATCCTCCAGTTGACCTGAACAAGTTTGAGTCCGGTCGAAGGATGGATTCTGGAGCGAGAAAATCGCTTCTGAAAAAAGGAGCGGTACGTTAATCCCACCTCCTTGACAAGTTTTAACGTGGCGAATGCTTAGATCTAATGTGTCAACGTTAGAACTTGTCAAGGAGGCGGGACTAGCGCATCGCCCCTTTCATCCAGGCGATCTTCTCGTTTCAGAATCCAGCCTTTTCGATCGGATTTGAACTGCAGCATTAGTCAGAAGCCGTGCTTCCGCACTGCGTCAAAATCCCACCACCCTCTAGTTGTTAACCTGGACAATGACTTTGAGCTAGCGTGTGCCAAGTACAGATGGTTGGGGTCCTGGCCACAAGTGCGACACGATATAGTGACGTTTCGCATAAGTGAAGCCGCTTCAAGAACACCACTTGGATACCATTCATTCAAAGCATGGACATACGGGGAATTGTTAAAAGAGCAGGGAAAATAGCATATTTACAATAGAGACCATTTGCGTAGTGTACGGTGTTGAGGCAGCGCTCGGCGCGCTGACCGTTGTCGACTTTGTTGGTATCAAGTAGTAGACTCTCTAATAAGGCCCCGGACAGACTTCACGCGATTTGATCGCGACAAGACAACTGTTACGAGTTCATTGCGTGCTGACCAGCTTGCATTTCGGTTGTGGTACTTTTCCAGCCCGGAATTTTTGAATGTAAAATGGAAATGAATGGAAATCGCGGCGATTGAATCGCGACGATTAAATCGCGTGAACTCTGCCCGAGGCCTAAGACCCCTAGTGCCAATCCCACGCTCCAAATTATGCATTTCTGAAAACGTGCTTCCAACGTCTTACCGCTGACGCCCACTCAGCGAAAGTGGGCGAGGCTGGTCAAAAAGCATATTTTCATGATTTGCATAAATTGGAGTTTGGGGTTGAACCATATCTGAACAACTCCATTTCCCCAGCTATTGCCTTCCAGAGCAAAATTTGCTTTAGATTCGTTGGACATGTTCTTTACTGCAGCAGAAGTCCTCTCTTCATCACTAAACTCGTAGAGTGGCAGCTTCGCTCACGCATGATTTGATAGAATTTGGCTAAATGAGGTCTTAAATCAGTGCTTGCAGTAATTTGAGGCGTCCCTGAAGCGCAAGATGGTGCAGGCGGGCGGCCATCGACGCCCGTGGGCAGAGGCGGCCAGCAGTGTTTTCGCCGTGGCGTCAGCTCTGCCTCCCATCATGAACAGCGAGCAGATTGCTGATCTGTTTGAGAAGGTTTGTAGTTTTTAATAATCTTCAGTCTCAAAATCAAGCAGTATTCACTTTAGATTGAAAATGGGGTTGCAATTGACCCGTTTCCTCAACTCCCAGCCGATATCAAACGAAATGCCGTGAGTTTTTCACGCCTTGCAACTTGGGAATGATGTTTTCTAGTTTTATCCTTTCTGCAACTAGACAGATGTTCCGTGTTCATATTTCTTGTGCAACTATGTGTTTCACTTTGAGCAGTGACTCATTTATTCTGAAAGTTTTTGATTTTAAAGGGTAATCATATTCTGGAAATGGTCTATAGGGAAATTTTCCGCCGCTATGTTCTGACTATAAAAACTTTTTCAATGCCGATTGCTATGTTCTCTAGTGTAAGGAACCTAACTAAACGCTTACACAGATGTTTCATATATGTGTGTTTTTTTTTGCCATAGGCATGCTAGTGTAATGGGATAGACCTTTTGTTTGACAAGGGAGACAACCGAGACCGAATGAGTCATCAAAGGCACTTTTATGCAATATTTTTTTTGACAAATCGTTCTCCCAGATATCTGGCTCAGCATCAAGCGTTTAAGGCCCGCTTTATAGTAGTTGTGTTATTCTAAACATGTATTGCTATTCTGCAGGGATGACGTAGAATGACTCTGTTGTAGCTCATGTGAGCGTTACAAGTTTCATGAAAACTTGCTTCTGAACATGTTGTCTTTTCTTCTATCAAATCAAATCTTTCTTTTTATGCAATGGGCCATTCACGCACCAATTTATTATCGTTAGCTACCAATCCGGGCAAAAATACTGCTTGATCAAGCATTCTCATTTCCTACCCTTTGTTTTACTGGGGTTGGTGAGTGGGGCTTTGGGCTCTGCAGCCTCGCAAGCGTGCTCCCTAATCATTTTCTAGGCTTGATTAGCGATTAGAGCCCAGCCATCCAACCGCACTCTCAGTGAAACAAAGGTTAAATACCTGAAGGTTAAAGTTGGACGATAATGCACTCAGATGTCTTTTTGAAAAAAGAATATTACGAGCAGTCGTAAAAGGATGTTATAACCAAAGCGGTGAGTTCATAGAAAGCCAAAATTGCCGAGCAATGGTGGGCGTCAATGTGGAACCTGTTTTGCCGCCCGAACATGCCCACGTCATGAAAGTGGTTCAGTCACCTGAGTCACACATCGCATAGATCGTACCTACCATATCGAGAATATACTCGCTTCCATTGTTGTTTCAAAGCTTATTGTTTGGGGCGTGTTTATAAGTGCATGTTGGTTTTCACAGACTGTATGTCTCCCATCACTTACCGTATATTTGGAAGTTTTTCTTTAGTCATTATAAAATTTCGTTCTACCATTTCGCTTACTCAACTTTTCTTAGGCTGGTGAAACCTTTTTAATTGTTGCTGCTCGCGCTAATAATGCACATGCAGTCAGATGTCTTAGCGTGGACCAAGACGTCTTGGATGAGACAGATAATGTGAGTTGTTCTACCAGCGATTCCGCTTTACTCATACGGATTCTATCCATTGATTGCAGGAGGGATGGTCTGCTTTACTTAATGCTGCCCATAAAGGACACTTCGACGTCGTAAAGATTCTCCTGGAAGCAGGAGCGTCGGTGGATTTGCCAGATATGGTAGATTTCTTTCCTCAATGGATTGCAAATATGAATTGTCTGGTTTCAGATGGGATGGAGTCCGCTGATGTGGGCTGTATATAAATGTCACCCCGAAGTAGTCGATCTATTGCTGAACTATGGTGTAAGTAATAACTTTTTTTTGCTTCTCATTTGCAACTGTATTCACTAGTTTTCATTGTGTTTGTTCTTTCTAATGATGTATCTTCGAAGTGTGTCCTTGTTGAATAGCTTATCTCATTTGAGGCTCATGTAAACCTTATCGATGAAGAGGACGGCCTTACCCCACTCATCGTAGCTTCTGGCCGTGGTTTCACCTCAGTTGTTGAGAAACTTCTTGCAGCAGATGCCCAGGTATCTGTGGTCTTGCCTTTCTTCCATCTTTCCAGTTTCTTCGATTCATAGGTCAATGCTTGTGATAAATTCGGCAGCACTGCTTTGATATGGGCTGCCAGAAAAGGTCACCTTCCTATTGTGAAAATGTTGCTCAATGCGGGCGCTGAGGTGGATGCTGTAGGCATGGTGGGTCTTTGGAGTCGTGCATGTATTAACCTTTTTCTCGATATCGATGTTACTCTTTGAAGGGCTCCTCAACAGCTCTTATGCTAGCAACTAAGGGCAATTATCTTGCTGTTGTGGATTTACTGTTAACTCGAGAACCTAATGTGAATGTTGTGGATCAGGTGAGTCTCCGTTCGATGAGATTAAAGTGTTATGGTCTACGTTGTTTTCACAGAATGGGCTCTCGGCTTTGGGAATAGCTGCGCGAGAAGGCTATGCAGATATTTGCGAGTCTCTTGTTAACTCGGGTGCATTTGTGAATCAGAGCGACAAGTTTGTGAACGACAACTATGCTACAGCGCTTCTTATCAAATTGGTTCTAGGTATGGGAACTGGATTCTGTTGAGCGCTGTGCGCAGTGGGAACGCTAATATCGTTCGTCTCCTTCTTGAAAAGTTCGCAGATGTGAATGCAAGGGATTCAGTAAGTGTTCACCGCAATATCGAAAAATATCTTACCGATCTCCCTTTCAGGAGAACAGGACGGCTCTCCATCTGGCCATTGACAAATCATTCATGGACATAGTGTACATAATTTTAGAGAGGAAACCAAACCTCGAACTGAAAAATAGAGTGAGATGCAATTTTTTTTGGAACTCTTATGAGACATGTGCTTTATCTTCCAAAGGACTTACTAAGAGACCTTTAGGACGGTGAAACTCCTCTTATTCGGGCTGTCAAAAGTCGGCACGTGGCACTTTGTGATCTTCTAGTGAAGTCAGGAGCAAAGATATCAGCGGCAGATAACAATGGCGACAATGCTCTTCACCTAGCTTTGAGAGCTAGGAGCAGAAGGTTGACCCAAACTTTGCTAGGTACGTACTCGAACTCATTAGCACACTTCCTTAACCTGCCTAGCTCTTCCTCTCTGCCCTAGCTCTCTTCACCTTTTATTATCACTGTGAAGTACGTACTACCTTTCAGCCAATCCGTCAGACTCTCGTTTACTTTATCGACCTAATCGTTTGGGACAAACTCCTTACTCTATCGACAATGCAAACCCGCAGCCGATTCTCCCACTCATTTTTGGTCCAATAGATGCGGAACAACAAATGGATACTATGCTGGGTTATGACGTCTACAGTAACGTGCTTGCTGATATAGGTAAATCTGCATCGTTTATGTCCATAATTATTGACTCAGCATAAATGATTTTCAGTTTGTGAGCCCTCCCTTTCTTTGCCTCTAACAGTGGGTTTGTATGCGAAATGGGGCTCAGGAAAGTCAATACTGCTTGCAAAGCTCAAGGACTCTATGAATAGCTTTTCTCGCAATTGGCTGGAAGGAGCGCATTTAAGGTGGTACGATTGTGAAAAATCATGTTTTCTTCTGTCTTGATGTTCTTCCCATTGCAGTATGTCTAGCCTCATTTTCTTCTACCTCACATTATTTTGTGTGATATTCACTATGACAATTTCCACCGCATGTGCTACAGCGGCCAGTCTGCCTGGGTTGATTGCCGTATGGGTCGTTGGTGGTTGCCTACTCGTCTTGCTCATATCTTCCTACTGTGAGTATATTTATATTTTCTGCGATAGCGAAATAACTTTTTCTGTAGGTTTTCTCTATTATGGAAGTGAAATGCGTGGATGGTCAGCACCAACGCGTGTCGCGACCTCACTATCGCGTTTCATCTATCGTGTTCGCTTACTGTGGAATGTTGCGACTCTTTATGCTCCTATGCACACTGAAAATGACATTGCCAGCAATCCTGTGAGGTTGGTAGTTCCGGAGTATCTTCATTAACATTCAGCACGTTTCGTACATTGATTTCTTCTCTTGCATCGAGGTTTCGCCGATTCTTCTTCTGTGAGCAGTTTTGAAAAAGTTCGTCTCACGTAATACCAGCGCTTTTTGGTTCATCCATGTTTTGACCAATTGATTAGTTTCTTCTTTCGACAATCACGCAATTGATGCTTGATGTTCAGTTTCTTGTTCGCTGACTACCATCGCTTATCGTCAATTGGTGGTGAGCAAGCCCTTGCTAAGATCGTCGCAACACTATTTGAGTCTGCTGAGACACACTTTGGTGTTCTACCCGTGCGACTCTTTTGCTCGCTACGCCCAGGATATCGTAAGATCTCAAAAACATGCGAGGATCGCTTTTTGGATAATCCGAAATTTGCAGCTGGACAACATGGGTCTTTACGGCGACATTGCGGTGTTCCCATTGTCTTGCTAGTGGGACTTGCTGTTTGTATGCTGCTTGCTTCGGAAATATTCATGACAATATGGCTGTTTAGCGAAAAAGATACGAGTTCGGGAGCGTATGTTTCTTTATGAGTTTTAAGGCTTTTATTAGGCAGAAAAGCACTTGCACTGTAGGCTCTTTGTTGTGTCAATTGCCTTTATGACAATATTCCTTATGCTGACTATCTATCCAGTCATTATATTGTTACGATACGGCTATACTAACGTTCCAAGAAAACGTGTTAACGAAGCTGCGCAAGCAGTTCTCAAATTGCGATTTGAGGGACTAATGCAGAAACTACAATCCGAGGTCGGTTTAGCTGGTATTTGGATTATCGTTTACTTCTTTGAACTCAAGTAGGTACAGTTAGTGCGATAGGAAGTTTTACAGGAAGTTGCTGTTTGACTTGTAGTTCTAGACGTATATCGCTATAGTTTATTGTTGCAAATCCGGTTCATGCTCATTTACTTCTTCATTTCAGGTTGATATCTTAGCTGACATGATTCGATCTTTAGATGCGTTCACTAGAAGCCAAACTCGTCTCGTAGTCGTCGTTGATGGCCTCGATAATTGTGAACAGGTTCAACTCATTTTCTTTTCTTAGTCTGCATTTTTGAGATATGTTGTTTGAGGAACGCATGGTTCAAACGCTGGATGCTCTCGAGCTCTTATTTTCTGCGCGTAAGCATCGCCCGTTCATTACCATCATCGCCGTTGATCCACACATCATTGTATCTGCGATAAATCACAATATGCACTCTGCACTCACTGGTAAGCACGATATTTTAGTATAGGATCTTCATTAATTATTATCACGAACAGATTTCGTCTATACCTACCTCACGTTGCATATGACGTACTGACATTTTATCTTTTTTTAAGGTACCGAACTTACGGGTCATGATTATCTGAAAAACATAGTCAATATGCCTCTTTATCTTCACAACTCGGCTCTCCGCCAGTTGCAGAACAAACTCAAGGTAAATAAATGTCTAGCGATGTAGTAGTATCATTGCTGTAAATTTGAAGGACAAACGGGAATCTTTGGCTGACTGGAAGGAACGCTATCGTCGCCAAGACACTTTTCATGGATCTCATCTGTCTTTGGCTGACGGTCGCCAAAGTCGGAAGGTCAATGTTAGCATTTACTGTGTATCGTCTCCTTGTTGTTCCAGTAGAAGCTAGAAAGTGTTACTATAAATCGAGAACACCCAAAATTTTGACTTAGGCGACGATCGTTGTCGGAACTCGAAGTATCGGTGAATCTTTGCTGAATGACGATTACTTTTCCAACATGAATCCAAGAGCCATGCGAAGGATTGTTAACGCCCTAACTTTGACTGGTACTACAATTGATCAATGTTTTCCTTAATCTACGATTTGAGCCGATCGCATTTACATTGGTAAACTTTCAGGCAGGCTTATGCGAGCTTTCGAGATCGAGTTCTCTTGGTTATCGCTTGGACACTGGGTTTCTTTGCTAGAACAATGGCCAAGCCGGATGTGTTGGCTCATTGATCGAGCACTTGATATCAGTAACAACACCTTGACGCTTGCGGAGGTATTTCCGATAGTGACTTGCTCATATGACAGTGTACAGTTTCCACTGTAGGTGTATCACCAACTAAAGGATCATATACCGAAGAAGGATTCACTCATTGAACTCGATAGAAATCCGGACAATTTTGAGGCAAGTCGAATTTTTTTAGTCAACAAATTTTGTACAACGGGGTAGTCGTGCCAGGCATTTCTTGATTCACCGACTATCCCAAGTTCCGAGCAGCTTACTGTGGGACATGTCAAGAAGTTCGTGCCTTGCACAAGTAATCTGGACCCATACCTACGCAAGCTGATCAGAGGTTTGCCGGAAAGTGTTTTATGTTGAATGAAGTGAGCTCTTTATTTAGAACGTCGCCAAGGACTTGAAGATCCCGTCCAAGAAATAGGATTTGGTTCTGTATTGATCCCTCCTGCCGCGAAATATCTTTTTACCGTGAGTATTGAAGAACTTCACTGCAAAGTTAGAGGGACTACAGTGAATTCGAGTTCTTTTGCGGTTTTTATTTACACAGTAAAAACATTACTTTTGTTTAGCAGTTGAGGACATGGAAAAATAAATTGCATGGTACTTGCAGGACGAAAAAATATGGAATACGGTGTGTACGCCACTCGTAGAGATGAAGCTGGATGCTGTGTGCGCTCTGGTGAGGAGACTGGACATAGCACAAAATCGCTTGGATGCCATAGTTCGCAAGTTTGAACAACTGAATCTTGGCGGATTAGTCTTGGCTTCCTGCTCACTTCAGGACTTGAAGGATGCGCTGGGGGTACGTTACACTGGAGAAATCTTTGACACTTGCTCCTCTTTTATAATTTCTTAACTTGAAAATCAGTCATAAATCAAGCGCAGGCTTGAAACTTTCACGGCGCCGTCGCTGTACGGTATAGCACTGACTTTGCTAAACTTCTTGCATAGCTCACAAATTTACGAACCTACGCATCCCAGACCGCTCGCTACGAATTTGTAGACTTCTGTACTGGAGGCCCCATTTGTTCGTGTGAGGTATGCCTCAGGCAGTGAAAAAGTGTGGAAATTGTAGGGAAATGCCGGCCTCTAGTACTTGATTAGACAAAGAGGACTGCGCAAGGCATTCTCGAAAAAGCATTATCTTTCATAACAGTTGGGTAGAGTCATTTGGAACTGTCTTGACGAATCGCACTTCAAACATATCTAGTTTAGCGCAAAAGTGTTACGAAGCTCTGACAGAGAAATGTTTCTGATGAGACTATAATAAATTATTAAAGAGGTTGCTTCAGTAGATTTGGATGATGTATGTTAGCCGTCAGAGCTTTGGAACAAACGAAAGGAACAATCTTCGAGTTATGTGCAAGCGCAGTTTTATACAAAGGCTTTTATGATGTTTCCACAGTTGATGAAATTTCTTAAAAAACCATAGTATCAGAAAGAGGTGCGAGTTCGTAGGAAGTATCTGTGTGGTCCATGTTTGCTTAGTCTTTTGACGGTTACCATTACATATTTCCAACAGTTTTTACGGAAATTTTCGCATCGTGTTGCATGGTGCGAAACTCTAGCATTAGCTTAGATATCATCCTATTATTCTCAGATGCCCCTTGGCGACTGGACCATGGTTCGCATTTTGGTGGAAACTTTGAAGGCGTTTGGCACGAATGTACCCGGGGTGAAGGTTGATAAGGTTTGCTTGCAGTGTAGTCTAGAAATAATATGCATCTTAGAAGGCTTACTTGGAAATATTGTTGGTTTCGTTATTGATTATTAATCCTGTTGCAGAGGAAGGCTTTGATCCTGCCCGAAGAGGACGAGGAAGGATTAGAGCTCGATGTTGACTTGACTTCAAGAAGGGGTACGATAGTGCAATCTCCAATTGGAGTCGGACTCATATCTGCTGAGGAGCGCAGGAGGTAGCTTATCTCGCATCGCTAGTCCTGCACGCTCTAGTCAATCATTGCACAGATCCATGGCTGCGGCTGATGATATGAATAGCGATCAGAAATGGTTGATGGAAAGCTTATCGGGAATGGATCTGAGTAAGTCACCAAATCCCTTGACCACCAAAACACAATTCGCATAATTTTGGATAGTTTTGAAAGAAACTCTCCCAGCATAGTTTGCTGTGGCACGAACAAACTATTTCATATCAGTCAGAGAACGTCTTGCAGCCCAAACCGAAGGAGATTTGGACTTGGCGCCTTCGTCGGGAGCTTCCGTGCGATTTGACGATATTGCTGATGACGGGTTGGCCACGGATGCGGACAGCACTGAGTCAAGATATGGTAGTCGGGAAAATCTGCTTGAACCTGGACCGATTTTGAGCCGCCACTCCAGCAGCAATGGAAGGTAAGAGTGGTCGGATGCTGCTCAAAGCACGTCATTGCCGCGAAAAGCCGTAAATATTATGCGCGATTGCTGCTTGTTTAGTTTGAAAATTTGCAGCCATAGGAATCGTTCTACGTATATGAGCTCGCCTCACTATAGGAAGATGAGCCGGTAGGCAGTTGCTTAGTGTGCATGTTGCTTTAGATGGAAATCATAACACCGTTGTCTATGCCTGGTGTTTGCTGTGAGCAAGTGTGCAGAGCTAGAGGTCTTCTACTAACTATCCGTCTGTTAGCGTTCTAGCACCAACGAATCTGTATCTACAAGTGCGCGTCGTTGTCGTTCACATGTGCACACTAATCCGTTGCTTCATTTACTCTATGCTTTAGGGGCGACTTGATGCGGCAAATCCACAACGACTCGATACACTCTAGTGCGGTATGTTTTAGACTTGCTAATAGTTCGTGTGGCATTGATTCTAAATAGCAAAATTTTGTTGCGAAATGCTAGTGTGAGACGAGCGTTAGCGGAGAGGGCGTCGCGTCAACTTGGTTGTGTAGCAAATTTCCAAGATCTTACTTGTAACACACTTTGTTTCAAAATAACGTCATCTCACTGAGTTAATTCTAGACAGTTTTTGTACATGACATCAGAAATTACGTCTTAATCGTTAATTACTCTCTTACTCTCTTCACGAGCCCCAAGCATTCCTCTGGATGAACTTTGCAACATAGACTTGCACTGAGGAATGGAACACCAATCGTCTCTCATTACTATAGGAGTACTGCGTGGTTGTATGAGAGATTTATGCATTAGTTGATCAGTCGTTCTGCTTTGTGATTCCTGATTTCATTTCAGTTGAGCGGTCTTTCGTAGTTCAAAAACCCCATCGCATCCTTTTGATTTTTGAGACATCATAACAAAGTGATTTGAAGCAGTGTGTGCAAAAGTGCAGCAGCAAAAGTGTTATTCACAATGAAGGCTGAGTAGATTGTTTTGAGACGCTCTATATAGTACTATAAGCAAAGCTTTGTAAGTACAAGATTACCTAATTTGCAGCTAGCTGAGAGCTTAGCTTACGCAGTAGGTTTTGCCTTGATATATAGGCGGGCTCGATATGCTGCTAATGCTACCCATAAAATATTTGCGTGATTATTTCCGGAAATTTTTCTTGAATTTCATGTTTAGGATGCCGCAATGAGCGCACGTTCTTCGGTGATTTCTGATAACGATCATCAAGTGACGGTAATGCGTAGAGATGGAAGTGTGGTACCTGGCGATCGACCTCAGTTGACCACCATTTTTGGTCTCGAAAATGGCAGCGCGTAGACGTTTGCAGGATCATCAAGAAATGTCTAGCGCGATGGCCGTCGTTCTGTATAGTGTGTATCTTGCTAAGCTGATTTTGTTTCCTGTTTTCTGTGTTATCACTCTAGACGACTCGCGTCTCTAATTCAATAATTCATAATTGTCACATCACTTTTTTATCTATGAAAACGGCTCAATGTTTAGTTTATGTTTGATATGTTTACAGAGTTGCACAAGTATACTTTCAAAATGTAATAGTCAAAAATTTTATTTCATTCTGACGTATGAACGCTTTGATTAACTCAATTGGGTAAGAAGAAGTTGACCAGAAAACTTTTGACCAGCGACTGTGATAGCCTCTAGTCATTTCTGTAACGTTCACTTTTGAACGAATCCATGACCATATACGAAGTTTTGCAATGTATTGCGGTGTATTAAGGTAATAAATGATTCGTGTTCTTGGAAGTGGATTTTTTCCTTGCTCTTGAACGTGTTGTTCAAGATATGCGCGCCTCTCGGGACTCGTAATGAAGAATTTCTATTTTATCATAGGAAGAGCATCTGTCATGCTTCCGCAAAAGAGAGTTCTCATCAGTGATCGTAATTGGCTTTGAAGGTGTTCCAAAGGTTTGGAGGACATATGAAGAGTTAGGCACAAAAAAACTGAATCGCTCACGGTTTCGATGGCGTATCCAGATTGTCCCAAAAACCGCCATTGTTTGGTCCTTATACTAACTCTTTTCCCTTTGTCTTTCGCTAATCATTAAGTTTAGTCTTTGGATCTGGCTTTTATGTACCGAATGGAGCAATAGTACGGATCACTCTTCGCCAGTTTAGATAGCAATTGCAGTAGAATCTGAGAAACGATTCCCGGCAAAATCGTGTTTTTGAGTTTTCTAACTTTTCAAAGCCTTTCTGCCACGAGGAACCCATATCCGAGTTTAATAAAAATGGCGAAAATGAGCCTTTTTCGAAGCTTTCCAGGTTCGCATTCAGTGCAAATAGGTCAGGAGTCGCCTGCGCGCCGCCTTCTGCGTTTCGGACTCCGCCCACTTACGCGTATTTTGCACTAAAGGCGGACCTGGAAAGCTTCGAGGAAAGCTCACTTTCGTTTTTTTGCGTTGAAAAGTCCAGATATGGATTCCTCATGGCAAGAAGGCTCCGAAAAGTTGAAAAACCGGAAAACGAATTTTTGCCGGGACAATTCCTTTGAACCAAAGAACCAGAGTTGGAAAATGCGTTACCAACAAAGTGTGGATGAAACCATCACTGCAGACCTGGACCGTTCACAAGCTACGCTAGATACACCCAGAAGCAGTCGCGAACCTGGTCACACCATCTAAACTGCTTCGCAAAACTGTGCAAAGGTATCTGAGGTTGTAATCGTAAGCGTATGTAATCCCTTCCCACTCTCCCAAGGTACCATGCCTTTCTGGGAATTTTCTGAAACTGCACCTAATTTGCAAAGATTTCTTGTACACGCATTACTTGGTCCACTTCAAACACTTCATCTCCACTTTCTCAATGGTCTTGGGAGCAAGTACAGTGGATGCCATCTGGAATTCCCTGCAGTGTATCTCCATCAATGAAAAAAAAGAGCTCAGTGGTAACTGCAGTATGAGAAGTAGCAAGAAAAAAATTGACTTAAAATTTCATCTTCGGAATCTTTTGAATATTTCATTCTTCTTTCCTTTTCCTTATTTTGTCTCCATGCAAAGAAATCTAAATATTTCAGTCTTACTGAGACCTTGAAAAAAAGGATGCCATAGCTATTGTGAACGGATGGAGAAATGAGGGTGGAAGATGCACAACTCTTTGACAGCTACCGGCTATAGTTCCCTTTGCTCACCATCCTGCAAACTGTCGCTACTTCAGGTCCAGTGATGTTACTCGATTTCCCGATTTCGTCGATGATCGTCTGTCTGCAGCTTTCATTAACACATTCACGACAAGGCCAATTTTTCGATTACTGCCGTTTTGGACCAGAGCCTTTTTCACATTGTCAAACTTACGACCCACCCGTGGGTCGTATTGTTCGAAATGGTAGTCTTTTTGGAAGAAATTCAGAACATGTCTCCGAGAATCTCCTTACAAGGGTTATCGAAGGCGCTGATCAGGGCCCGGCACGAGGTGGGAAAACGGGGTTTTCCAGAACGAATTCCCCTTTGATCCCAATAAATTTTACGAATACCCCCTTGAGCCCAAAAATGACGTTTTGTGCTTGTGCGACGAGATTACCGGCCACACTTCGCCTAAAAGCGCTCAAAAGCGCCCAAATTGCTCAAATTCCTCAAATTACTCCTCAGCTGTATCAAAATAGGAAACAGGAAGAAAAATAAGCAAGAAAAATGATTAAGGAATGAGAAAATATCAAAGAAACGCAGTCATAGGAATAAGAGACGCCGTTCCCGCGCGTACCGATTGACTGGGGCGCGCTTTCCATCTTAGAAAGCTAGGCTGCTGATGCGGTTTTGGGCTCTAACAAGGACAAGAGGAGGAGCTTCGGAACCAAAATTTCACCATGTAATAAACTTTAGGTGTACAACAGATTTATGTAAAAATTTTGAAAAAATTATGCGAATTGAGAGTTTTGCCGACCTCAGGTGGGAATTAGGTCGGCAAATGCCGACCTAATTTGGAAATTAGTTAAGGAAACTCTTCATTCACATAAGTTTTTCATAATATTTCATACTTTATTACTTAGTCCTATTGCGCATATACACACCGAATCCCGCGCGATTTCGTTACCTCTGCGTTGCAAACGAGCCATTTTTCCATTTCTTTGGTAGCGCAAAATTTTCAGATAAAAGTTTGCCACAACCTTCAGTCACATAATTTTTCAATGAAACTCCTCAGTTAAGCCCTGCAAGCCCGTGTGCATTTACTTACCAAGTTTCATACCATATCCTTCATCTGCGCGTTTAAACGAGCCGTTTGAATTCACATCTTCATTTACCAGTTTTGCGAAATTCTCGGAAAAAATGCTAATTACTCGTTCCGTTCACATAAGTTTTTCATAATTTTTCATACTATGTTTCCACTAGCCTCTCTCCGTTCGCATACAAAATTTGGTGTCATATCGTTACACATACATTGAGAACTAGTCATGTATGCTGTTACAAATAGCATCGCTTGGGCGACGTCGCGCGTGCGGCACTTAGCGACGGCGCGGTTTGACGCGCGCGAACTCCAGTGTTCGCCTGTTGAGGCACATAACATGTCAAGATAAGTAGCGAGCATGAACTACCAATTTTTTTTCGGGGCTCTGCCCCGGACCCCCCAAAAACGATTTCCCCTTTGCTTTTTGGCCCCAAAACGATTTCCAGCTTGTCATTTGCCGACCTCGTGCCGGGCCCTGGCGCTGATTGCCAAAATATGATTTCAGTTTTTGGCATTATACGGTAAGGTTACCGTAGTCATTCTGTACGGATCCAACACCATGAGTTTTCATGAGGAATTGTGTTTTGGGGTTAGTTCACCTATAGATAGCGATTATAGTGTCCACTTTGTTCAGTACTTTCCCATAGTGGGACTACGGTAGCAGTACGGTAGAATTTTCGTAAAAATCAACTGATATAAGAAGGCGTATTAGAACTTGAGACTATTATTTTCGTAATCAGCATGCTAAATAACCTATGTATGTAAAATTTGAGCTTCCTGGGATGAACAATGCGAAAAATCAATAGAATCAATAAAATCGATAATTTTTGATGGGCTGACATCAGTCTCGTGCCCTCCCTGTATTTTTCGTGCAAGTAAACTTGAGTTTTCAAAAATAGCACCATTCCGCGAAAAATTTGAGTGAAAGTGTGCCTTACCTCTGTTTACGGTATACCTACCGTAACATTACTTTACAGTAACCTGAACGCGGACCACTCTGGCTGGAGCTTCCCCAAGGTGTCCCCCAGTCATGTGCCAGAACCCCGTGAATTCTATCGTATACTGGCAAAGCTAGAGCTTCAGGAATCTTACGATCCATCCGTGGGTCGTATTGTCGCGAATGTGTTAAAGTCTGATCATTATGGAACCAAAGGTTGACTTTGTGCATCTTTACAACTTTAATAGTGCTTCATCGGATTTGTCTTCAGGTCAACCAGGCTTCGCCTAGATGTAAATTGCGCAGTAGGTCCTCCTAAGCCACAAATTTTGTACGTGGTAATTCGGATCACTGGTAAGCCGAAAGCTTCACTCTTTATGGATTATAAAAACGGTTTGATATTTTTTGAACTAAAACAATGTTTAAAAATGTTTAAAATAATTTTTTAAAAATTGTTTTACAAGTCAAAAGAGCTTTGCTTGAACAAAAATCATGGGACCGCCGCTGCCTACGACCGAGGCTTGTTTTCTTCTTGCATGCTGTGCTTTGTGTATGAAATTGTTCATGTTATTACTCCACTGAGCTGTTTCTAGCGTCAATCCATTGTGCTGCATTAAGTAAGCGAAGGAAAACAAGATGATTATGGCCGTTTGGAGAAGTGACACGACGGAAGAACCAAAGTATGAATTGGCTCTCGGTAAACGTGCCTTCAAAAATCTTAGGAATTAACTTGAGAGCGTGGAACAATCTGGACCTTGCGCTAACGGGGGTTTCTATTACCATACTCTTCCCCTCTCATGATCTTCCTTTTTTTCTGGAGACCGGACTGACAAGTTGGAAACGTTAAGTACTTTAAGGCCTGTCCTTTCCAACGTCGCAAAGTTTCAAATTAGACCTCTACCTTCCAAGAAGTTGATTATCATTGAAGCCTGTTTTAGCATAAAATTCTGGTCCATTCCACCAATGCTTCTCTAGAGTGGCTCCCCACGAAGTTCAGTTCTTCGTATCCCTAGGTGTGTAGGGTGGTTTCAACGCGATTCCAATTGAAAGATTGGAAGATTTTATCACTTCTGACCCCATGCAAGGAAACGTTGCGGTTCAGAGGTATTGTTTTTAATGCGAAGGTTAGTCGTTTAATGATGTGTGGAGAAGTTTCGGCCCAACCATTATGCAATTAGCTTAGACCGCGGAATTGTAATAGGTTGATGTAGCGAAACCAGCCTAGATTTCGAAATAATCGGCAATATTTAGATGGGTGTATCTTTATAGCGCTGTACGATGTAAGCTAGTGAGCCATATCTTACATATAAAGCTGAATGTCTGTTTGTCTGTATGTATGTCTGTCTGTGTGTACGTATGTTTCGAATAGAAAATTCCATTTCTGAACCGATCCGGATCAAACTTGGCACACATACACTTCGGGCCCCGGCGGGTGTTATAGGCTACTTTTCGTCATCGATCGATATCGATTTTA